GGCAAGCGCGGAAACGGCGGGTGGAACCACGACTGTGTCGGACAATGCTTTTTCGGCCAAGGCATGATGACCGGCCGTGACGGTGATGGCGTCGAGACCGGGAAATCCGGGAATAGGGTCGCCCATGCCCATGAGACGAATCAAATTCATCTAAACAAAATCCAATCCCCGACCACTCGGACCACCACCTCTCTTCCCGTCAAGAATTCCGCAGCACCGAAGGCGGCCAAACTCGTAACGGCCGCACGCCAGTGGTACCGCCGAATTGTCGTCGACCTCATCCTCCGCCGCAAGTCTCTCCCTCCATCCAAGGATGGGCGGCGCATATTCCTGCGGCCGGACCGCCAGGAACTGCTCGTCGACGAAAGGAGGGGTTATCCTTACATTTCCAACTCCATCCGGACCTCGCGCTACACACTCTACGACTTCTTCCCGAAGCAGCTCTTTTTCCAATTTACCCGCTTGGCCAACTTTTACTTCCTCTGCGTCGGCATCCCGCAGACCATCCCCGGGGTTAGCACCACGGGCAACTTCACCACCATTCTACCACTGCTATTTTTCGTCCTTCTCACCATTGCCAAGGAGGGCTACGATGACTGGCGAAGGCACCGTCTTGACAAAGTCGAGAATGCCAAGTTAACAACTGTTCTCAGAGGTGGTGGGGGCGACAGAAGCAGCAAAGGGTGGAAGTCCCTGTTCTGCGCCATATCAAGAGATGAGGTCAAGGACATCGAACAACGTGAAACTGGACCGCCTTCTCACCCAGGGCTGCAATGGCGAACGATCAAGTGGCAGGATGTTCAAGTTGGAGATGTTGTGAAGCTGGCGAGAGACGACGACGTGCCCGCCGACATTGTGCTCTTGCATGCTGAGGGCGAGGAGGGCTTGGCCTATGTCGAAACAATGGCCCTGGACGGCGAAACGAACCTCAAGAGCAAGCAGGTGTCAGTAATCTTGAAGGGATGTGATTCCATCGAGGGCCTTTGCAGTTCTGAGGCCGAGTTCGTCATCGAGGACCCCAATCCGGACCTGTATCGCTTCGACGGCCGGGTAACCGTGAACGGGAAAACGATGCCCCTGACGCTAAATGAGGTCGTGTATCGCGGCTGCACCATCCGCAACACTGCAAGCGTCATCGGGATGGTCGTCAACACCGGGGAGGAGACTAAAATCCGAAGGAACGCAAATCGCCATCCCAGTGCCAAAAAGCCTGCTCTCGAGCGCATGGCCAACATGATCGTCATCGCCCTCGTCCTTTACCTCATTGCTCTTGTTGCTGGTCTGTCAGGGGCCTACGTTCTTTGGCAACGCACTTACGAGCGAGCTGCTTGGTACTTGAACGATATCCCGGTTCCCCTCGCACACATCATCGTGGGCTACGCCATCCAGTTCAACAACGTCATCCCCCTGGCTTTGTACGTGAGCCTCGAGATTGTCAAGATCTGCCAGATGCTGCTGCTAAACTCGGACATCGAAATGTACGACGAGGCGTCGGACACCCCGGCACGATGCAACACCAACACTATCCTCGAGAACCTCGGCCAGGTCGGCTACCTGTTTTCGGACAAGACCGGGACGTTGACGGAAAATGTGATGAGATTTCGCAAGATGAGCGTGGCGGGCACTGCTTGGTTACACGAAGCGGATCTTGCTGAGGGCCGCGAGCCGCCAGGTAACAAGGAGACACAAGACGGTGGCTCAGAGAACCTGGGTTCGAACCCTGAGCAGGGCGGTACCCCTGCGAGCGACGCCAGACTTTCAAGATTTCTATCCCCCCGACACCGAATGGGCCCCCTACTAGCCGCCGGTCCTCGTCGCAGTGGCGGTCAACCGGCCGACCTGACCATGTACAACCAGATCTTACCACGTTGGATCTCCTGGAATACCTTCGGCTACGCCCCAATTCTGTTTTCTCGAAGCGTGCCACGCAATACATTTTAGCCATGGCGCTCTGCCATACCTGCCTACCGGAAACAAAGGACGGAAAGGTCGACTTCCAGGCGGCCTCGCCTGACGAGCTTGCTCTGGTGAGAGCGGCTCAAGATCTCGGTTATGTAGTGATCCAGCGGACCACACAAACCGTGACTTTGCGAATTTCCACTGGAGACGGTGACACAAACCGTACCTACCAGATCCTTGACGTGATCGAGTTCAGCAGCAAACGCAAGCGCATGTCGATCATTGTACGCTGCCCAGACGGAAGGATATGGCTCCTGACGAAGGGCGCCGACTCGGCCATTCTCCCACGACTGAGAATGGCAGACCTGGCGACCCGAAAGGCCAAGGAACTGCGTGAAAGTATCGACTTTGAACACCAGCTACTGCGCAAGAGCGAGGCTCGCGAGCCACGCAACAGCTTTGGCGGGCGACCCAGTCTTAGCATCAGGCGCAGCCTCGCCCTCTCCCGACAGGGGTCTTCAACAGTCACCGGAAGCACGTCGCTGGATGTTAACAGGAGCAAGTCGTTTGAGGTTGCTCATCTAGACCCTCTAGCCCGTCTCCGCCCCCACCCCCCACTCAACGCTCGCACAGCATCCCTTGATGTTCGCCGGGCCCCGAGCAACATCTCGTTTGCCCAACCAGGGGCCGTGGCGAGCAAGTTTGCATTTGTCGACGACCCATCGCTCTCAGATGATGCCGCCATCTTCACGCGCTGCTTCAGACAGATCGACGACTTTGCCACAGAAGGACTTCGAACGCTTTTATTTGCTCACCGGTTCCTAAGTGAGGAGGAGTACAACAGCTGGAAGAAGCTATACCGTGACGCAGAGACTAGTTTGGTGGATCGTCAAGATCGAATCGAAGCCGCGGGGGAGGTGATTGAGCAGTCTCTTGACCTCATCGGCGCATCAGGCATCGAGGATCAGCTGCAGTCCGGCGTCGCCGAGACGATAGACCGGCTCCGGCGGGCAAACATCAAGATCTGGATGCTTACAGGGGACAAGCGGGAAACGGCCATCAACATCGCCCACTCGGCGCGCATATGCTTGCCCGGTTCTGACATCTTTGCGCTGGATAACGCCAAAGGCGACCTAGAAGGCCAAACCCTATCCATCATGGAAGACCTTCAAATCCAAACCGAAACGAACGCCTCCCACGCACCAGGTCACACAGTGATCGTCATCGATGGGCACACCCTCGCCGCCCTCGAAGATCCAGCCTCCGCCGCTGCCAAAACCGCCTTCTACCAGCTCATCCTCAGCATCGACTCCGTAATCTGCTGCCGCGCCTCCCCGGCCCAAAAAGCCCTCCTCGTCCGTACCGTCCGCAACGCCTCCAGCACCGCCACCACAACCACCAACCCCTCCCTCCTCCACCGCCTCCTCCCCCACCACCTCCTCTCCCTCACCCGCCCCCAAACAAACCCCCTAACCCTCGCCATCGGCGACGGCGCCAACGACCTGGCCATGCTCGCGGCCGCGCACGTCGGCGTGGGCATCTCCGGGCGCGAGGGCCTGCAGGCGGCGCGGGTGGCCGACTACGCCATCGCCCAGTTCCGCTTCCTGGCGCGCCTGCTGCTGGTGCACGGCCGCTGGAGCTACGCGCGCACCGCCCGCTTCGTACTGGCCACCTTTTGGAAGGAGATGCTCTTCTACCTGCCGGCCGCGCTGTACCAGCGGGAGGTGGGGTACACGGGGACGAGTTTGTATGAGATGTGGAGCTTGACGGCGCTGAATACGCTTTTTACGAGTTTGTGTGTTATTGTGCCCGCCGTGTGGGAGCAGGATTTGAGGGCGGAGACGGTGTTGGCTGTGCCGGAGCTGTATGTGTTTGGGCAGAGGGATAGGGGGTTGGGGGTGGGCATGTATCTTTGGTGGATGGCGGCGGCGGCGGTCGAGGGGGTGTTGGTGTGGTTTTTGTGCTGGGCCGTGTATGGTGGGATGGGGCCCGTCAGGGACGGCGGGTTGTTTGCGCTGGGGAATTTGGTGTTTTCGGTGAATATCGTTTGGACGAACTTGAAGCTCTTGTGAGTTACCCCTTATCGAACTTGGACCAGTGAACGTCGCTAACTGGTTTGTGCAGGATCCTGGACACCCACTACAAAAATGACATTGTCATCTACTCGTTCATCATCACTGTCGCCGGCTGGTGGCTGTGGCAGGTGTTTCTGGCCGGCGCGTATGCCCCCGGCGTCTGGCCGTACGCGGTCAAGAACGGCTTCTTCTCGTCGTTCGGCCCGGACCCGGCGTGGTGGGCGGCGCTGTTCGGGGCGCTTGGCGTTCTTACCTGCATGGAGTTGGCTTACAAGTCGGCGAAGCGCAACCTCGTTTTGGCGGGGTTGTGGAAGCGGGGCTGGAAATGGCTGAAGTGGTCGACGTGGGAAGCGGCTTTCTGGTCGTCGCCTGCCGCTGGCTCTGGCGCCTTGTGGTCTGAGGAGGGAACCAAGGGGTGTGTGGAAGAGTGGGATGTGGAATTGTGGCAGGTCATGGAACAGGATCCTGCTATTAGGGACACGCTGCGCAAGATGAGCAGGTTTGAGTACGAAGAGGAACGCAAGGCGGATCAGGATGGATCCAGGGGGGGTAATACCTAGTTCGGCGTTTTGAATAATCTCGAGAGTTAGATATACCATACAAGATAATAATAATCACCGTTTAGCGCCTTTGGATACCTCACAAGCGATGGATCAACTTGACGATGGGTGGCTATGGCTGGATGGTTTTGACATAAAATCCAATGCTCTTCAGTGTGATACATAGCAACGACCACTTCCAAAGATGGTGGTGAATAATAGGTAGCTCCACCGGTGAATCAGGCAGTCATCTAAGGTGGGTACGATGTGTGGTTTAGCTATCGTTGAGAGATCTAATTCCTCTAATCCCTATATAATACCATATAGTTTTAACAACCAGGCTTTAATAGCAAGTATAATATTTGTATTCTCAAAAGTATTTCTCCTCAGCATGCCGCTTCGCACCTCAAGGGGTTGTGCGGTTAACGTTATAGGTAGCCATTCCGAATCCGAAATCAACAATTGGTCGGAACCACACTCGACTCCATCGGGTATGGTGTAGCGGTAACATCGTTGACTCTCACTGCCAAGCAGTGACTGCTCTCTCAACAGCCCCGGGTTCGACTCCCGGTATCCGAGTCTCAACTTTCTTTTTTCCTCTTTTTCCTTTTTTTCCCCTTTTGTTTTGGGCTACCTACCTACAGAATTCGGTATTCGGCTTTAGCTCTTTTTGCCCGTCCGTATCAAACAAATAAACGCGAGTCAGTGGCGCGGAGAAGGGCGTTCAATATGACACAAACTCCAAGTGAGCAATATCCGCATACATACAATAAATACAGGGATGATGGTCCAATGACGCATGCCGTGTTCTTGGTGGTTCACGTCTCACAAGAACGTGGCCAAGTAGCCAAGTCGACGGCAGCGCAGTGTCACGCAAATATGCCGGTCATGTTCCCCAGGATGCAAAGGCTTAAATTGATGCCAAGAAGGGATCTGTGCGCCAAGGGTCGTGACAGCAACCCACTTTTAAGGCCAGGCCTGTTGGATAGGAACTGCCGAGGAGAAGTCAGGAGACCAAAACGAAGGCAGTCGCGACTCACGAGACACCACAACCTCACATCACATTCCGTGTTAACCCCAACATCCACCACCGCTTAACAGCCCTTTGCAGATCACGCACTGCAGTGAGGTTATTTACGCTCCGCCATGTTGTGCCCGCTGACTGCATGCGTCGAACTGCCAACGGAAACGGAACCATGTCAAGCAAACTGGCCGCCCCCAAGGGCCCCAACGGAACCGGAAGCATGTCTGGCAAGTTGGCCCCCAAACTATCCCCAACCTTTATCGCTTTTTTTCGTTTTTTCTTTTTTTGCGGCACGGCAATCTGGCACGGCCAGCTGGTCGGGTCGAGGATCGCCCTAGCTGTTGCAGATCACTGAGATCAGTTATCCCATCTGCTGGAGCCATGCCCTGTCGAGCATGTCAACCCTTCCCAACACCCGCAACCCCCTGCTTGTGACCTAGGGCATCCCTGCTTGTTCCTCTTGCGCCGCCCTCAGGTTCCCTTTCCCAGAATGGAAACCTCAATGAACACCACCGCCCTAGACTCGAGACAATGTCTCGGCGGCCGGGTGCCCACGTTGGCCCGTTCGGCCCAACGAAGGCCAAAGAAAGAAGGTCCATGAGGGAATATTGGCTGAAATTAACAAGGCCAACCTGACCATACCCGGGTCACGTACTAATCACACCGCTGCGGAAGAAAATATGACCAGGCTAGTAGCTCATATATATCATCACAGACTTCCGTAGCTCATGCCGGGGGCCCCCTTCCTCCCACCCTTCCCAAGCAGACGAAACTTCACCAATCCCGCCGCCCACCATGGTTGCCCTTCCCCTTAGCACCCTCGTTCTAGGTAATCCATCATCCCCCTCACCCTAACCATGGAACCCCCCGAGTCCCGCCCCAACCCAGCCATAATCAACTAACCCCGCAACCCCAACCCCAGCGCTCGCCGCCCCGCGCGCCGTCCACGGGGCACCAACGCCCCCTTCCACCAGCGACATCGACATCAGCGTCGGCAGCAGCATCAGCATCAACATCAACCTGACCCTCACGCAGCCCCTCGGCGGCGGCGTGCCGCTGCGCATCATGCCGCTCGGCGCCTCCATCACCTACGGCACGGCCTCGTCCGACGGCAACGGCTACCGGGCCGCCCTCCGCGACCAGCTCGTCGCGGGGCCCGGCAACAAGGTCAACATGGTCGGCACGCGGCAGGCCGGCAGCATGCGCGACCGCGACGTCGAAGGGTGGCCGGGCTTCCGCGTCGCCGAGGTGCACGCCAAGGCCATGGCGCCCGGGTGCGTGCCGCACTTTCGCCCCAACGCCATCCTCGTCAACGCCGGCACCAACGACGCGACGCAGAACTGGGACGTGCCCGGCACCGGGCGGCGCATGGAGGCGATGCTGCGGGACCTGTGGGCCGCGTCGCCCAGGGCGGTGGTGGTGCTGAGCACGCTGCTGGTGAATCGGAATGCGGATGCCGAGAGGAATGTGCGGCAGATTAATGCGCAGTATGTGGAGCTGGCGAGGCGGCTGCGGGAGCAGGAGGGCCGGAGGCTGGTGCTGGTGGATATGCATGGCCCCGCGGGGCCGACGGCGGAGGACCTCGCGGATGATACGCACCCGAATGATGTGGGGTATCGGAAGATGGCGGATTTGTGGTTCAGGGGCTTGGTGGCTGCGAGCTATGCCGGCTGGTTGCAGGCGCCGGAGCCGGTGCCGGGGCTGCCGGACGATGGTGAGGCGTAAGGGCCGGTAGGGGGGGTTCGTCGTGGGGCTGCATTAGTAGGCGTTGGAGCTGGGGAAGACATTGCTTTTGGATATGAATTGTTTTTGCATTAGATGTAATGGAATTAGTTGCTAATGTGATTTTGGGATATCTACCGGGAGTCGCCATCTCGAAATACAGGCCCATGAGTTATAGATATTGAAGGCAAGAGCTCATTTATTATATCCCAAACGTACATACCTGGGAAACAGTAGCGGGTGCGATGTGAAATTACTCAACGGCCATGTCATACGCAACGAGGGGAGTGACCAAGTGTCAATGGCCGGTTCTACGGCCTCCTCTGATTCTTTGGCGGGGCTGTTAGAGATATAGAATTCCTAACACGGAAAAGAGGAAAAAGAAGAAAGGGAGGTAAGCTGGCCGTTAAGTATTGAACTGGCTTGTGCCGGCGAGTCCGAGGCCCAGAGAAATATATCCTCCATGTTACCACAATCAGTTGAGTGCGTGGTACCATACATATTGAAAACGTTGTTTCCCTCCTCCCTTTGATATCCTGAACCAAACTCCCGCGATCGCCCTCAACTCCAGTGTGTACCCAAGTACCTGATTTCGTCATCCAGTAGTAAGGAGTACTGGGTCTCCAAATGCAACCTATCCCTACCATGCAACGGCCTCCCTCTAATCCAGCCCGACCCAACCCAACCCAATAGAAAACCCCCAAGATTGAAATCCCACTCATCCCGCACCTCTAAACTCGTCCACCCCGACTCATCAAACAACCAGAAATCACCACGAACCCACCCCCAACCTACACACCAACCACCCCTTCACCACCACCACCCTTAACATCACCACCAACCCACCACCCATCCCCGCCCGCCCTCCGCACCCGCCACCGCGCCTCCTCCGCCATGCGCGGCACGCCCAGGTCGGCCACGGCCGGGTCGTCGCGCCAAAAGAGGTAGAGCTCGCCGAGCTGGTCGTAGACGGCCTCCAGCGCGGGGCGGCGGCAGACGCACCGCACCACGGCGGCCCCCGTGTTCCCGTCCCGATCTCTATCTTCGTCCCTGTCCCTGTCCCGATACCGATCTTCGTCGTCGGTGTCGGAGCTGGAGCTGGAGCTGAAGCCGGAGGGGGAGTTGGTTCTGGTTCTGGTGGGGGTGCCGTGGCCATGAGCGCGGGGACGCTGTGCAGCGTTCCGCACGTGCCGCAGCGCCAGGTCGTTGGTAGGCGTAGGGATGTGGGTGAGGGGAGGAGGGCGCCCTGGGGGAGGTGGGCGAGGAGGGTTGAGAGGGGTGGTGGTGGTATGGATGTTGGTGGTAGGAGCATGGGGGAGGTGGATGTTGGGCGAGGAGGAGGAGGAGGGTAGAGTGGTGTGGTTGTGGTTGTGGTGGTGGTTGTGGTTGCCATGCTGGATAAGTGTGGTGATACGCGATAGAGGCGGCGAGACGGCGAGGCGGATGGCGCTACCCAGTTTGGGGGCCGGATAGCAGAACTAGGAATTTCTGGTTGAGGTGTCTGCTGAAAGCCTGAAAGGAAGGAAGGAGCGATCGACAGGTGAAAGATTGTTCTATCAGTGTTCCGGGTGCAGCGGACCTTACATAGATCGGCAAGATGTGGGGATGCCCTGATAAGGAAGGAAGGCTCGGCGGGTGCTGAAAGCTGCCGGACTCCGAACCGGTGGGTTTGCCGAATCAGATAGCACTCCGAAGGAAGGTTATTTTGGTATGATTATGATTGGGGGAGTGCGTGTGGGCGCCCTGGTTGAGCCAAAAACACTGCATCTTCTGATAACGCTATCATGACGCTGCCCGATAGTGAATGACGACAGCAGTTTGTTTAAACCTATATTTAGGCCATTTCCGTTTTTATCTGTTACGTGAGTGGTCGCGAGGGCTCGGGGGCCCGGATTGGCGACGAACTTTCAGGGACGGCGCGGATCTTCCCCAATTCCCCCGAGGGGTTATCCCTTGCATTTGCAGAAGCTCATTAGCCACGGTATCAAATCTCGAGGCTTAAGGAGGGGCTCGGTACATATGATCTTGCTCAAGCTGTTTGTCATATTTGTTTAAACTCGATCTCGAGCATTCCAAGTGAGGCCAAATCGGGATTGGGTCAAATCGGGAATGTGCCAGCATGCCCCACTTGTCAAATCGGCAAGTGAACCCGGCTTCGGATTCGGAGGTTTTCGGACAAGGGAAAGAATCGACTCTATTTTAACTTGGCCTCGACATCGTCAGCGTTTAATGATCCAATGCACGTTTGTACTCGGGAGACAGGCAATATTTGTTGTGGCTAATGGCGCTAGAGAAGTGGGAGAAACAAAACATCGGGAGTACCTGGGGACCTCGGTAATGCTCGACCGGGACATGCGGCCCGATGTGGGCCGGTCGGACCGGGGAGGTTGGTGCCGGGCCGGACCGGCCGAATCATGATGTCATTCGCAAATAGACATTTAATCACTCGCTCACCCGCATAGCCAGACCTGTCATCATGTTTCTTCTTATCTACCGGATACGCCCATTGCACTAACCAAACAAAAAAGGAAATAGAATAACAAATGATAACAGTTTTTCTCCCACATCAAGAGTTTCTTTTGCTAGTAGCGCCATTAACTAACCCTTCCACCTGTGACGGGCCGAAGAAACTTAAGGCGGCTGAGTAACCCAGCGGTCGTGGAACCAGGCAACAACCTTGAGAGTTGGCCAAGTACAACCAGGGGACATCACTCCAGGGAGTCCAAGCGCGGACCAAGAACCCTGGCCGAGCCTGGAGTCGGCAGCGCGGCAGTCTACTCAATCCCGTCAACACTCACTCACCACTCTCCCTAGCGATAGGCACACACGGGAA